ATCAACCGCGCACCATGGTAAGCAAGGGGAGAGGGGATGGTGGGGGCGGGGGGGGGAGGGGGGGAGGGGGCAGTGTGTGGTTGTGTTCCATGAACGGGAGGGCGGGCAGGGGGAGGGAAGGGAGGAGGGGAGGGGGAGGGGGGCAGGGAGAGAGCGGGGAAGGAAGGGAGGGGGCAGGGAGAGGGCAGGGAGAGGGTGGGGGAAGGGGCGGGGAAGGGGGACAGGAACAGGAGGGCGGACTGTGTGTGGTCTCCCCTACCTCCCCCGCCCCCGTAGTCCGTAGCCCACTACCCCCCCTATCCCAGGTGGGTGGGAAAGGGGGGGGGAGGGGCACCTGTGGTGTTGGTGGGAATTGTTGCCTCGACGGGAGGAACAGGGAGGGGGGGTACTGCGGTGGGTGTTGTCGTGAGGCAAGCAGACCACCACCATCACCTGGTGACAACTCACACACATACACACACTCTCTCTCTCTCTCTCTCTTTCTCTCTCTTTCACCATCCATGGTCCTCTACCGCCCACCATCAGCTGCACTGGGTCCTCGTGTTCAACACAGCTGCAAAGGTCCGCATGGCCCGGTGGTTCACGCCCTACGCCGAGGAGGAAAAGGCAAAGGTAGTGGCAGAGGTCCATCGCCTTGTCACATCCCGCCCGCTGGCCATGAGCAACTTTCTCGAGTGGACCAACTACCGCATCATCTACAACGCATACGCCTCGCTGTACTTTGTCGCATGCGTTGACGTCTCGGACAACGAGCTCGCGCTCTCGAGCTCATTCACTTCTTTGTCGAGGCCCTGGATGCCTTTTTCGGCAACGTCTGCGAGCTCGACCTCGTCTACAACTTCTGGAAGTGCTACGCAGTCCTCGACGAGATCGTACTTGCCGGCGAGATCATGGAGACGTCCAAGGAGACCGTCCTCTCACGTCTCGCCATCCTCGAGTCACTCGACTGACGACGTAAACTCCCCACAGCCACGGCCTCGGCCTCAGCCTTCGCACCCGTTCTCCACCACCCGCCGGAGCTCGGCCCCGAGCCCGCGGAGATCAGCGTAGTGTGAGGCCTCGAGTGCATCCACCGCCCGTACCGCCCGCCTATCGCCGCGCAGCACGGCCTCTCCTGGCCCGCCGCTTGCCGCCGTCGCCACAAGCACCCGTCCCACGCCAAACAGCACGTGCCGCGAGACCGTGCCTGCGAGGCCGAGCGCCATCTTGGCTGCCGCCGCAAGCGACTCGGGGCCAGCCTCGCCGCCGACAGCCTCGAGCGCGAGGACCACAATCTCGAGCGCAAAGACTCGGATGACCCGGTCGCGCGCGTGTGCCAGCGCTCGCAACGCCGTCTCGAGCACATCCGCCGCAAGTTCAGGCGCCGCATCCAGCGCGTCACGCCCGCCGCCGTCGCGCCACTGTCCGCTGGCAGACTCTACCAGGTGCAGGCCGTCTTCGAGCCCATCCGCACTCGGCCCGGCCGAGTGCAGCAGCGAGGCCAGCGCAAGGAGGATCATCACCCGCGCTCCGGCTCCCGCACTCGCCGCAGCCTCCACAAGGTCGCCGCCCACTCCTGCATGGACCAGGTGCAGCGCCGCCGGTACAGAGCACCCCAACAGCGCCACCGTTCGCGCAAGCACCGCTGTGTGCGGCGGCGCCGTGTCCAGCGAGTGCGCGAGCGCCACCACGCCGTCCATGATCGGCGCCGTCCGCACAATCGCCGCCCGAGCGCTACTCTCAAATGCGAGCGATGCGAGGAGCGCCAGCGCATGGACCGGCGAGCCCTCCTCGCCGGCCTCCACAAGGTGCGCCGAGAGATGGCTCAGCACCCCGCCGTAGACCGCCAGCATGCCGACCGACACGGCCTCGCCGTCCTCGTCGATCTCGGTCGAGACGCAGTGCTCAACCATTGCTGTCAGCGCCACAGCTGCCGCCGCAAACACCGCAGGGTGCGCGGTCTCGGACAGCAGCCGGCTCACCACCCGCACAAATGGAAGGACAAAGGCTGAGCCCTGTTGCGCTGCCAACGTCAGCAGCGCAAGGACCTGCACTGTCACAAACGGGTGCGTCACCATCGCCTCCGCCGCTAGTGCCAGCTTGGCCCGGTCGTCATCGTTGAGCACCAGCGTGGCGTGTGCAAGTCCACCCGGGAAGCCCATCAGCTGCGCCAGTGTGTGGTGCATCGACCACTCCATCGCTGCAGGCGATGCCATCGACTCGAACGCTGCGCCACCGCTCGACTCGGCGAGCGCCGCCAGCGCAGAGACCGCCACCGGCGACCGCGCTAGCAGGGCTAGTGCCTGAGTCGTCACTCGCAGTGCCGCAATGTACGGCTCGCCGCGCCGCCCGGCGGCGAGCGCCCCGCCCAGAAGCTCGAGCGCGAGATGCAGCGCCCGCCCCAGCGCCTCCAGTGCCCCGGCCGTAACCAGCTCGCCCAGCATCGCCAGCGACTCGTCGCGCGCAAGCGCCGCCAGCGCGCCTGCCCCGCGAGAGAGAAGCTTGAACGACTGCTCTAGGCTGGCTCGAGACGATGGTTGCAGCGCTCCAACCAAGGCACGAAGACCGGTCCCACCCTGAGCGCCCGCAAGCTCTGCCCGCGCCCGTGGGTCGTGCAGCAGCAGGCCCAGCGCCGCAAGTGTCACCGATGCCAGAAAGTCGTCCGTCTCCTGCGAGCAGCTGCTACCGCCCGCAGACGCCGCCGCCCGCAGCGCGCTGGCCCGCGTCTCCAGCACCAGCAGCAACGGTGTCGCCAGCCCGCAAGCCGCCGCTGCGCGGCGCATCTCCTTGTCGGCGAGCATGTGGCTCAGCGCCACGCACCCGGCCGCCACTGACGGTGGCGACGCCGTCGACAGCAGTCGCGTCAGATGGCCAAACACCGTCGGTGCAAGCGCCGTGATCAGCACCGCGTTCGAGTGCATGTACGAGACTCGCGCCAGCGCCAGTGCCGAATGCGCCACGCAGTGCTCGTCCGACGACGCCAGGAGGACATGGACCAGGACAGAGACCGCGCCAAGCTTGGAGACGACCCACGCAAAGTGCGGGACCGCCGCAAGCTCCGCCAGCAGCACAGCCGCCTGCGTCTTCTTGGGCGTCGATGACGCCGCTGACAGGCCATCCAGTGCCGCCACCACACCCACACACGTATCACACATCCTCACCAGCGACCCGGCATCGCCTCCACTCCCTGCACCGCCCCCGCTCCCGCTCTCGCTCCCGCTGCCCCCGCCCGACGATAGCGAGAGCGATGAAAGCGACGGCAGCTTGGGAAGATACGACGAGAGCGAGAGCAGCGACGGCGATGCCGACGACGATGCCCGCGATGCCTGCGACGCCGGCGATGTAGTCGACGCGGTCGATCCGGCCACCGCAGGTGATACGGACGATGGCGATGCCAGGGGCGACGATCTGTGTGGTGACTCGTTCGCCGCCCACGGCAACGGAGCAAAGGTGGCGGCACATGCGCCACAGGCCAGCTGGCCGCATGTGCGGCAATGGTGACGTCGTCTGAGGGTGGAGAAGCTCCGCGAGCAGAGACTGCAGGCCGAGGCCGAGTCGTCGGCTGCCCAGTACGGGTGCGGGTGGCTGTGGGGAGGTGCTGCAGTGAGTAAGGGGGTAGACATGGTGTGTGGTGGTGGTGCGTGGTGGTGCGTGGTGTGTGGTGGTGGTGGTGCGTGGTGGTGCGTGGTGTGTGGTGGTGTGTGGTGAACGACGGCCAGGCAGCTGGCTGACATGGCTCGGTCATTGCCAGGGGGAGGCCACACGGGGGAACCCTTGCTCGGCATTGGAAGCCAGTTCGTGGCTAAAAAAAAAAGGATGACTGAATCATCCTCCCCTCCCAGCATCCTAAACTACACCACACCACACTCGTCAACATCATCCCCTCTTCTACACACATAGCCACACTCACTCAAAGCCACACATACACACGTTCTCCCTCCCCCCCCTCCCTCCCTCCCTTCCTCTTCCTTTCTCCCCTTCCTCCTTCCCACCACCCCACCGCGGTCTTCCGCCAATTTGTTCTCTCCCCCCACCCTCCACTCAAAAAAAACACTCCACCGGATTCAGTCCCAAACCAATCCAAAACACTTCGTCTTTGCCAGTTCCCGGCCAAGGTCGCGCTAAGACACTCAACTCGACTCCGAGCTTCTTCTTCCCGCCCCTCCTCCTCCTCCTGCCGAGCCAGCCTTCCACACAGTGGCGGGTAGTGCAGTTGCCCACATAGATTGCGAGCCATGGAAAAGTTCAACGGATGGATAGAAGCATGGCGGGTGAACAGACTCGAGTCGCTCTGCAAGTACGCTCTCATCTCTCTCGCTTTGCTCTTGTCAGCCTTCACTTCAGCTCACGTCATCCCTGCGTCACCCCGAACTCACCCGCTGCATGACGAAACACCGAGACAGGGAATGGGTGAACTACATGCTGCAAGATCGGTTCATGCACTTGGGCGAACTGAGTGACCTGCGGAATCCGACGGGTTTGCTGGCACTGGCGCAGATCATCACGCCCAAGGAGATAGATATGTTCAATCACGATGACGCGCCACTGGTGGTCAACCCAGTGACCGACGACCATCGCAAGCACAACATGGAAACCTGTCTCAAACTCGTCCGCTCGGCAGGCGTCCCGATCTCGGCCCATCCACTGGAAATACTCAACGGCGACATCCAGAAAATCATCTGGACCGTTCTCCAGATGGCTCGCTTCTACTACTCGCGCCGCCTGTTCACAGGCGGGAAACATGCGTGGGGTGCGTCCACGCCGCGGTCGGCCGCATCAGCAGCCTCGGCCTCGGCCTCGGAGCAGCTCTTCTCCCAGCGCCTCCTTGCTCATCTGCATACCTTCCTTTCCCTCTCTTCTTTTCCTTCCTCAGTCACTCTCCCGCCGCTGACCAACTTTCGCGCGCAGTGGCGCGACGGCCGCGCCGCGCTCCTCCTTGTCCACGCCCTCGCACCACAAACCATCGATCGCGTTCCGGTGGCAGTCTTTGTCGCCGCGAGCTCGGCCTCACTCCCATCGCACATGCACGACTCGGACTCGTCGTCCTCGCTTGCCGCCTTTGATGATGCCGACACTGCGCTGGAGATTCTACTCTCCGACGCCGTCACCGCCCGCCAGCGCTACCACATCGCCATCGACGCCCTCGCCGAGGCCTTTGGCATGCCGCATCTCTTCACGCCCGAGCTCATCGCCACAGAGCCTGAGGAGGTCTCGCTCGAGATCTTTGTGGCCATGGCGCTCAATTACCGCTCGGCGCTCGAAGGCTCACCCACGGTGTCGACCTCGGCCGCGTCGCTTGCCTCGCCGCTACAGAGCTCATCCGAGCCCGACTCACCGTCGGCCAGCCAGGACGCCCGCACCTACGCCATGACGCTCAAGGTCCAGCTCGATGAGGCCAACGCCTTCCTCGACACCGCCCGCTCGGAAATATCTCGCCTCCAGTCGCAGATCTACCACACGGAAGCTGCGCACGTCTCGATTGTCGAGCGGCTCGAGGCCGCCGAGCGCGAGCTCGAGGCCGCCGCAGGCCGCGAGGCCGCGCTTCAGGCCCGCATCGACGACGTGGTGGCCCAGAAAGAGTCTCTCATCACCGAGGCCAAGCTCACCATCGCCCGTGTCCAGAACGAGCGCAAGACCGCAGAGGACAAGTTCCGCTCCGCGCTCGAGATGTCGCAGGTCACCGCCAAGAAGTTCAAGCGCCTCCAAGCCCAGGTCCGCATCCGCATCGATGAAGAGCGCAAGTCGCTGGAGCAGGACGTCGAAGCGCCAACGGGGGAAGTCACCCTCATGTTCACAGACATCCAGAACTCGACAGAGCTGTGGGAGGCCGATGCCGCCGTCATGGCCGCCTCGCTCGAGATCCACAACGACATATTCCGCTCCATCCTTCCGCGCTACCTCGGGTTTGAGGTCAAGACCGAGGGTGACGCCTTTATGGTTGCCTTTTCTTCGCCGGTCGACGCCGTCATGTGCGCCCTCGCACTCCAGCGCGCGCTCCTCACCGCCCCGTGGCCGCCGTCACTCCTCAAACCCCCGGGCATCCCCATCTGTGCCCCGGCCTACGCCAGCAACGGATCGCTCCTCTGGCGCGGCCTCCGCGTCCGCATCGGCATCCACTGCGGAAGCCCAACCTGTCGCGCGGACCCCATCACCGGTCGCATGGACTACTTTGGACCCATCGTCAACCGTGCCGCCCGCATCGAGTCAGTCACCTCGGGCGGCCAAATTGTCATCTCTGAGACCGTCCACGACGCTGTTGCCGGCCTCCTTCCTACCCTTGACCCGCCCGTCGTCGTCCGGGACCTCGGCACCGTCGCCCTCAAGGGCATCGACGAGCAGCTGCACATCTATCAGGTCGCAGACAACCAGCTCGTCGCACGCGTCTTTGACACGCCCAACGCAAAGCGCGGCGAGGTCCTCGACATCGTCAACAACCCCAAGTCCATCCACGCAGAGCTTGACGTCGCCACCAAGGACACCCAAGACCTCGCCGCGTCGCTTGCTCGCATCGCCTCGGAGCTCGAGGTCACCAAGTCCGCGCACCACGCAGACATTTCATCCATCGTCAAGGCCATGGAGACGCTGGCCACAGCCACATCCTCCATCCGCCCGGGCGCCCTCGCCAATGCCCGCAACCTCGACACCTCGTTCTCGTCGCCGACGGCGGCTTCCATTCTCTCTGCAGCCTCCCAGCACTCAGTCTCGCGCGAGGACCTCTTGGAAGCCCTCCAGTTTGTCCGCCACATCGGCCCGTCGGTCCAGCACCTGCAAGACCAGCTGGCAGCCTCGCAGTCTCAGATCGAGGCTGCAAACCTCTCGGTTACCGTCTTGCAAAAGCACTTTCATGCCCTCCGCGACCAGGTCCGCAACCTTCTTCACACCCGCTCGCTCGCCGAGCCCGACGACTACGACGCCGACGCCTATTCCGACGCTTCCTCGCTCGCCTCCAACTTTCTCTCATGGAAGCGGTCCGCAGACTCGCACAACTCGCGCATCCACGCCAACTATGACAAGCTCGCCCGCGAGCTCGAGGCCGCCATTCGCGCAAACAGGCTCCTCAGACGCCAGCTCAAGCACGTTCTCTCGCTCTCGGCCGCAGATCGCGCTGCCTTTGGCCTTGAAGACCTCGACCCGTCGTCGCCGTCGTCATCGTCGTCGCCGTCGCGCCCCTCGCGCCGCCGCAACACCCTCTCGGCCGCCTTGCGCCCGGCTCAGGAGCAGCTCGTCCCGCCGTCGCCCACCCGCTCCAAGCTCCAACGCGCCCAGTCTATTTCGCTCGCCCGTGCCCACCGTTCGCCAACACGCGAGGCCAACGCGTCCGCGCCGTCGCCCGAGTCTCTCGGGCGCAAGAACACAATCCCCAGCCGCCGCAAGTCGGCCTCGCTCACATCCATCCACGTCGACCCGGGCACCCCGACGCCAGGGCCGCAGCGAGAAACGCTCTCGCGCTCGCCGGTCTCGCGCAAGAAACGCTCATCAACGCGCTCGCGCTCACGCTCCCGCTCGAGCTCAGCTACTCTCCCGCCGCGCCCTGACGCGCCGTCCTCGCTCTCGCCGCCCAATCTGGCCTCTCGCCGTGCCTCGTTCCGCTCGGGCCTAGCCATGCTCTCGCCGGTCCCAGAGGGCCGCACTAAGCTCGGTCCCGCCTCCTCGTCCAGCTCAGAGTCGCAGCTCTTCGCCCCATCCTCGCCGCCCTCGGCCACCAACCTTGCTTATTCGCATAACCTCTCTCCAGGCTCCATCGCCCGAGTCCGAGTCAAGGTGAGGCGCAGGCGCCACTCGCACGACTCGCCAGCTTCCTCGCCACGCCTCGCCTCCAAGTCGCCGACTCGCAACCACAACCACCGCCACCGCAGTCGCGAGAGCAGCGAGAGGGGTCGCGATGACCACGGTGGAAGTCGCCGCAAGGTGATGCGCAAAGTCAAATCGGTGGCTGACGTCCGCGCCGACAAGCTCCCACCCGCAACGCCTCGCCCTTGCCCTTGCCCTCCAGCCTCTCGCTCCACGCCCTCCACAAGCTCCCTGCCATTCCTCACAAGCCGCGGCCCCAGAACTTTGGCCACGAGTGTGAGCGCGAGGCCAAGCATCATGCCCGCCACAGCAACGAGGACCAGCTCACACAGCCGCCGTCGACGCCCACAGGCCCGCTGGATCCCGACCTCACATTATCAGCCGTGTTCACCGACTCGGACTCGTGCTCCGATTCCGACTCGGACAGCTCAAGCTAGCCCTTAACGGTATGTCGCTCGGACGCGTTGTCGCTCGTCTCAAAGTGAACAACTCAATCATGCTTGACTTTCAGGTCACCGGCCGACGCTGCGTGACGCCTGCTTGGCCTGCGGCTTGAGGTGGGAGGCGCGGCAGATGCGTGACGGCGGCCGACACGTAGACCCCCGCCCAACAGATGCCAGAGTTGCCGCCGCGGTGACGGACGCCTGGGAGCATGTGCGAGGCGCGCGAGGTGCCGTACGGCGCCGATCCGGAGGAGCGGCGGGCGCGGACGGTGCGGAGCTTGTCGGTTGACGGCCCCGGCGACCGGGGAGTTGAGCATCACAGAGTTAAACAAAGCGGCCGGACGGGAAAGCGCGAGGACGTTGTCGATCTTCTTGCGACGGGCGAGCTTGCCGGTCGGCGTGGCCGCGCAAGAGGTGGCACGCCAACTTGAACTGGGTTCTGGACACCGCGCTCATCAACGCGCAAGCGATCGCGGCCGCGGACTCACTCTGTGAGTGGCGAGTCGAAAAGAGCCGCAATGCGGGCGGCCACAGCGTCGCCCAGCGACCGCACCGTGGCGGTCATCTCAGCTGGTGACGCAGCAGCCACAGCATCCAGGCTGCCAAACGCAGTCAGCAGCTCACGCGCAACCATCGGTGTCAGCCGCGACACGCTCGCAGCAAGGTGCGCCACCAAAGCCTCCCGGCGGAGCGCGTCGTCGATGGGCACCAGAGCAGCGGCGCCCGACGCCGCATTCGACGATGTCGACGAGGCCGATGCAGCCGCACGCGCTTCTGCCTGTGCTCCGTACCACATCTGGCTCACTAGCATTGCTGCCTGGTCGATGCCTGTGACCGGGACCACCCGGACGGCCGGAAAGTCTGCGACGGCGGCAACCTGCGCCGCGCGGACAGGCTCGAGCGTCGCCACCGTCCGCTCCACCAAGACCAGCGCATGCTGCAGCTGCGAGCCGCGTGCAGCGTCCGCATTAGCCACTGTCTCTGCCAGCGCCTCCGCCCCGCCCAGCACCACCGCACCCTCCAGCACCATCAACACGCCCGTGCCGGCCACCACTGCCTGCAGCGGCGCCTCCACCGCGCCCGTCCGCACCTTCAGCCGCTTCTGCTTGGCCAGCGCACGCCCAAACGCCCCGCGCTCAGCACATGCCGCCACAACCACCGGCCCTGGCAGGCCGCCACGTCCACGGTGTGCGTTCATAAGAGAAGGGTGGGGTGCCGGGGTGCGGTGCCGCTGCCGGTGTCGGTGCCGGCGGCGATCACGATCGCCCTTTGCCGGCCGGCAGGAAAAGGTCGCAGTTTCGGCGCCACACCCAAAAAAGGTCGTACTTTCCACCCCACCCCGCACCCGACTCTCCACACACTATGCTTGTGGGGGTGCTTGCACAGACGGGACCCGAGACGGTGCGGCGGCTGTCCGGAGCCGAGCTGCGCGAGCTGGCGAAGGAGCTTGTGGAGACGCCCGAGGTGGACGTGTCCGGCGGCGACGGGGCGGCCGCGCTCGGGCGGGTCCTGGGTGCGGCGGGCAAGGCTGTGGTCGACGCGCTGGCGAGGCAGGCAAGTGTGGAGAACGCGGCCGAGGCCGCCGAGGTCCTCGAGTGTCACACCGCTGCGTACACGGCCATGGGCAAGGCTGCGGCCGTGGCGCCGGTCTCGCTCGCCCGCCTCGCCCCGGTCACCGCGGCCACCACCGCCCTCGTCTCGGCCGCCCTTGCCCATATCCGGGCCCACGCGAGCCTCGCCGCCCCACAACCCGACGCCCCGCCGCCGGCCCGCGATCTCGCCGCCAGTCTCGATACCCTCTACCGGGCCGCCTACGGCACGACCTCCACCCTGCTCACCCTCGCCCTCAAGCACGCCCGCCCGCCGCTCGCCCATGCACCAGACGCCGCAGACGCCGCCGCCGCCGTCGACCTCGTCGCTTGGGTCCGCGACCTTGCTGCAGACGCCGCAAACGACTTTGCCCTCATGTCTCTGGTGTGGAAGGCACTCGTCCGTCTTGCACGCTCACATGCTGTCGCTCTGCAGGCGCCCGGCGCGAGCCTCTCGCCGCGCGCCCTCCTGGATCTGGTCCTCCGCGAGCTCGCGGCCTCTCTGGCCGATGCCGACGCTGCTCGCACAGACATGCTCCTCCGCGCCTCCAAGGTCTGCCGCTTCTTCGTCGCCCACACCTTTCCGCTCCTCGGAGCCTTTCCGTCCGCCGCCGCCGCTTCTCCACGCCCGCTCGCCGACAAGCTCGCCGCCGCCGCCACCCTCGCGCTCCGCCAGCCGACCCGCGACGCTGCCACGGCGCTGTTGGACGCCCTTGTCTCAGGCCTGACCCGCCTCGACCATCCGCCGCTGGTCGCCGCCCTCGCCGCCGCGCTGGTTGCCGACCTCAATGCACGGATGGGTGTCGCTACGACGCCGCCCACACGCATCCGTGGCTCGCTGCGCCTTGTTGCGGCTCTCCTTGAGAGCCACTCGGCCCACATCGACACGCTGAAGACCCAGGCGGCGCTGTTGAGCGGCTTGATGGCTGCTGACATGGCGGGTGCCGACGAGGGATGCACGAGCGCATCTGCACACCGCCCGGCTCTTGACGACCTCGCAGCCGACATCGCCCAGGCCGTAGCGGCGTCGGTCGCCGCCACCGCTGATCCGCGAACTCAGGCCAAGGCTGCCGCTCAGCTGCTGGAGCGCGTCCTTGACGCCGCGTGGTGCCCAGTCCTCGGCCGCTGCATCGCCCAAGCGCTGCGTCTGGCGTGGTCGGCTCTCCACACGTCGGGCGCTGCCGCTCGCGTCGCCGAGCTCGTCGAGCATCTCCTCGGCTCGGCCCTTCCGCCGCCAGTTTTGGCTGCCGTCTCACCCTCTGTCATCCGTCCAGCAAGCGTGCTATCGCCTCAAGCTCTCGCCTTGCTGCACGAAGCCATCCGCAGCTTTGCCAGTGTCGCTCTCCCGGGCATCGGCCCGCGCCAGCTCGAGAGCATGGCAGCTGATGCAGCCGGTGCGATTACTTTGGCGCCAACAAGCACATTTGTCGTCTCGCACGCCTCGAATCTCCTCACGATCCTGCCGTGGCGCCGGCTGGCCAAGTCGGTTGTCTTCGCGGCAACAAGTGGCGGCTCGCAGAGCGTGCTCAAGTTGGCCGCCGATGCAGTCGGGCTCCCGCAGCTCGACGCAAACGTCGTCGCGGCTCTCGCGCTGCTGGAGGCCTTGTCGGCCTCGCCGTACTGGGACGAGCTCCTTGCAGGGTCGATAGTGCTCAGCATTGGCCGCAGCTGCTCCACACTGCTCCAGCGCGAAGAGGCGTGGGCGAGCGGCGGGCCTGCGCCTGCCGCCATCGTTGTCCTGGCCTCGCTCGTCGCCGCCGCGCCGTCGTTTGAGCGCGGCGCCGAGGTCCTCAACACTGTGGCGTCTCACTGGGGCTCGGCGCCGGCATCTCCTCCGCTCTTTCTTGCGGCAGCGCAGCTGCTCGACGCGCTAGCAAAGGTACCGCTGCCTGCGGCTGCGTCGCGGCGGCGGGCATTTGAGGACGGCTTGCGTACTCTGTTTGGTGCTCTGCTGAAGAGCCCGCACGAGCCGCTCCGCAACACAGGCGTCCGCACCATGGTCGCCTTTGCCAAGTGCACTGCCCTCGACAACGTCCAGCAGTTTATTCCTGGTGCGCTGAAGGACCATCTTCTCGGCTACGCCACCAAGTCGCCGGCCGTCACCGCTGGGCTCGCCACGCCCGCCGCGCGTCCGTCGCCCGCCGAACGATCAGTGCTCGGCAAGCGCCGCCGCAGCGCCCGCCAGGATGTGCTCGACGCTCTCGCGTCGGCGCCGCCGCCGGCCAAAGCCTCCAAGCGGCTGGACGGCACGCCGTCAGCCGCGCTCGGCCGCGCCTGGTTAGCCGACGCTGCGGCCGCCCTCCGCTCCTTGGTCAAGCTCTCAACGTCGGAGCTAAGCGGTGTTTTGGGCACCCCACAGGCCCGGACTGACCTGGCCGACCTACGCAGACTCGTTGCACAGTTTGACGCGGCGCCGTAACACACTCGCCTTTACTGCGCCGCCAGCGATGCCAGCGATGCCAGCGACGAGCCAAAGCACACGCCGCAGCCGCCGTCGACGGCGCACGCCTCGTGGAAGACATGCCCACACGGAAAGGCGGTGACTGCGGCGAGTAGCGCAGCTGCGCCGCGCTGCGCGGGGCGACGGCCCCTTCGGTCAGGTGGGCCTGGCGCACTGCTGCCACTATCGGCATCGGTGGGCTCGCGGACCCGCAGCGGGAGCATGCAGAGCATGCACCGGGCGTCGAGCTCAAAAGCCACACCCCAATGCGAGTTCGGGTCCTCGACAAACTGCCGTAGCGGCGTGTTGTGGTCCGGCCCTCGGATGATGCGGGTGGCGTCCGGATCGGCCGCCCCGTCGACGGCCGCCCCGTTGGCGTACTCGTGGTCGGCAAGCCGCCGAATCTGCGGTGGGAGCGCCGACGGCTTTTGCGCCCACAGGTACGCGTCGAGTGCGTCCAGGATGGTGTTGACCCGGACGGCGCTCGCCACCTCGCGCTCAGCCTCGCTGGTAAACACGGCGTAGCCGTCTGGCTGCAGCGATTTCGCGAGGTCGGGCAACTGCTCGAGAACCTCGAGGCCCTCCAGCGAGCCGACCACCCGGGCGAGGGCGGCAACGAGCGCAAGCGCCACCTCCTTTGGAAGCACGAGCGACCATTCCGGCTCGGCAGCAACGTGAGCCAGTGCTGCCCGCCAAAGCGCAAGTGAGCGCGAGCTGATGAGCACCTCGGCAAGTGCGGGTGCATCGCGGGTGACAAGCGCCACATTGGCCGCCGCCGCCTCCATGCCCTGTGCGCGGTAGACCTGCATCACGCCTGGCAGCCAGCCTGCGGCTTCCATCACCGGAAGCAGTGTTTCCACGCCCGGGCCATGTGGTTGGTCAGCAGCGTGTCCAACGAGTGGACGCCGCCGTGGGGCAGAGCCCAGACTAGGCCCAGTGCGCCCGGCCGAGGCATCACGCCGACAGCCTCCCATGCCGGAACGTGATCGGTAGCGACCAGCGGTGCAGCCGGGCCGTCGCTCGCCGGGCCGAGCACTGCCGCCCGGGCAGGGCTCCCGGTACTCGCGAGCGTGTGCTCAAAGACTGCTTCCAGCAGCGGCAACGGCGTCGGCGTCGGCGGCGACATCGAGTCGAGGAGCGACCGGAGGTAGTCAGCGTAGTACAGCGCGGCGGCCGGAGGCGCGTCGCCGCTGCCGATGCCCAGCGCGCGGGCAAAGATCCACGGCTGGACCTGCGGGTACCAGTCGAGCGCGAGCTTGAGCGCGAGCTCGGGTGAGGCCTGCGCCAGCACCGGCAAGTACCGCAGCACAGCCGAGAGGCTGCCGTCGCGGCAGAGGAGGCTGTGCAGGTCGGGGCCCGAGCTCGCCGCATCGTCCAGTGCCTTGCGACGGCTGGCATACTGGGAGAGCGCGGACACCGTCGTAGCAGCCGCAGTCGGCGTCCCGGACTCGCCGTCGACGGGCGCATCGGGCGAGGCCGCCTCGGCCTCGACCACGGCCTGGGCCTCGGCCTGCAGCGCCTCGTCCTCGCAGGCGTGGACAAGCGCGATGGCGTCAGCATAGTGGTGGCGGCTGGCAAAGGCAAGGATGGAGGCCGAGTGCAGCGAGCCAAAATAGGCGCGGATAAAGTCACACGTCTGCGCTTCGGTCCACACGCTGCCGAGCGGGAGGCGAGCTGGATGGACGGTGTGGACCACACACGCGGCGAGGACCTCGGCGATCCACAGCTGCGGAACGTCCGACGGGACAGCGGCCGGATCAAAGATTCTCAGCCAGGCCTGCAACTCGGCGGGGATGGCGCCAAAGGCCATGGTGGCACGGGTGGCCGGCGGCGCCCCAAGCACGTCGCGAACAGCCTTGGTGGCCAGGCGGAGCGCAGAGCCTGTGCTGCCTGCCTCCAGCGCAGGCGAAGACGACCGGCGTTGGGCCTTTTCCTTGATGATCCGCTTGACGTTGGTGGTCGACTTGGAGACTCGCTGCGACGCACTCCGCTTCATGCTCTTGAGCCGCTGCATCATCGAGCGCTTCTCGTCGGCACCGTCGTCACCAGACTCAGCGGACGCGTCGGCCGACGGCGCAGGTGGGAGGGCAGCGGCCGAGGTTGCTGCTGCGAGAGTGGCAGCCTCGACCAGCGACGATGACGACGACGACCTCCGATGCATCCGCTTGGGCGCAGCCGTCTCCGACGCTGCGTTGCGCGGCGATGCGAGATTGGATCGCGGCGAGGTGGCCGAGAGCGACGAAGGCGATGTGGTGCGGGTATGCGGTGGCGAGAGTGAGGTTCCACTGCCTGTTGGTGGCGACGCAACGCTCTTGGGCATCGGCGACGGGCGCACAATCGGAATAGGTGCCGAGCCCGGCGGCTTGGTCATGCCTGGCGGCGGGAGGAACGGCAGGCCCCGCTTGCCTGCCGAGCCAACAGCCGGCGAAGCAATGTGGGCTGGCGCGCTCGGCGACAAGATGTTGGCCAGTTTGGCCGTCTTGGTCTTGGTCTTGGTCTTGGTCTTGGTCTTGGCCTTGGCCTTGGTCTTGGACTTGGACTTGCTGCCCCCCTCCGACCGCGACGACTCGCGGCGCTTCTTCTTCTTGCGGCGGCGCGACGAGCCTGACACGCCCGACCTGCGCACGGCCGCCATGTTGGCACCAGCCAGCGAGCCGCCTGCGCCGTCCATCGACGAGACCGACGAGACCGACGACTCACCTGAAGATGCCGAGTTGTTCTCGTCGTCACCGTCATCGTTGTTGAGAGGCAGCAACACGGCGCCGTCCGATTCAGTTTCAGGGCGGGTCGCGAGCGCAATCGACGGGTTGGACACAGGTTGAGCTTGAGCTTGAGCTTGAGCTTGAGCTTGAGCTTGAGCCTGGGGTTGCGGTTTGGATTCCGGCTCAGGTTTGGGCTCGGGCTGAGGCTCGGGCTGAGGCTCGGGCTGAGGCTCGGGCTGGGGCTCGGGCTGGGGCTCGGGCTGGGGCTCGGGCTGAGGCTCGGGCTGGGGCTCGGGCTGGGGCTCGGGCTGAGGCTCGGTCTGAGGCTCGGGCTGAGGCTCGGGCTGAGGCTCGGGCTGGGGCTCGGGCTGGGGCTCGGGCTGAGGCTCGGGCTGAGGCTCGGGCTGAGGCTCGGGGTCCGGGGTAGCGGCGGTGGCAGCAGCGGCGAGAGCAGCAAGGCGCTCCTGCTCGCGCTGGGCAGCTTCGACACGTTTGCGGACAGCCTCGGCCTCAGCCTCCAGTTGTGCGCGGGCAGCAGCCTGGCGCTTGGCACGAGCCTCCTCGGCGGCAGCAGCAGCAGCGGCTTCGCGCTCACGCTCAGCCTCGACAACAGGATCGTAGGCGGCAGCAGCAGCGGCAGCAGCGGCAGCAGCGGCGGCCTCGGCGGCAGCAGCAGCAGCAGCCTGGGCCTCTTCGAGCATCTCGGTGACAAGCTCGACAACGTCATCGTCAAGCTCGAGATCACCCATGGCGGCGGCCAGGCGCTCAAAATCGGCGATCGGCGGCGCCCACTCGAGGGTGTACACCAGATGAAGGGCTGAGAGCGTGTCTCCTGCGGCGAGGTAAGCGGCAAAGACGTCGGAGACGGGGGTGATCGCGTAGCGCGAGAGCGACGCGTCTTCGCGGAGGACAACCATACCGTCGGCGTCAAGCGCGACGTCGACCACAGGTGGCCCGTCAGGCAGCGGGAACCACTGGCGGGCGCCGGCTGTTTCAAGGTCAAACACAAAGACGGCCGAGGCCGTGAGCGCGATGAGCGCGTCACCGATCTGCTCAAGGCGGGCAAACTCGACGTCCGGTGCATCGCCCTCGTCGGACGCCGAGCCGACCGATATGGGGAACGACGCGTAGGCGGTGGCCGTGGGCGCTAACGGTGTGAGCGGCTCGACGTCGGCAACCTCCTCGCCGAGATTGAGAGTGGCGTGGACATTGCCCGAGTCGTCGGCAAGCCAGACGCGGCCGCCCGGGCGGGCAGCGCAAATGAGGCGAGTGGCGCCGCCGGCAGCTGCGGCGACGGTCGACAGTGTGGCCGGCACGAGCGTGCGGGTGAAGCATGCACCGTACGCGCCATCGCGCGCCTGGGTCCCAATCTGGACCACGTCTTTGGTCTTGGTCTCGACGAGGGCAGCCTTCTCAGTGTTGGAGACGAGGAGGCTCGGTTCCGAGTAGTCAAGCTGGACAACAGGAGTGGCGCCGGCGGCAACGCGCTCCGACTTGCGGAACTTGGCACCTCGGACGTAGGTGACAACAACGGCGCCCAAGGCATCGGCGGAAAAGAGCCTGTCGCCGGGGGCATCCCAGGCAAGCGCCACAATGTCGCTGGCGTCCTTATGGTCCTTGACCTTGCGCAGTTCCTTCGGCTTTCCCTTGCCCTTTGCGCCATTGGTCAGCGCCAGGCGCCAGACGCGGACGAGGCCGTCGGCAGCAGCAGTAGCCACCACGTCTTCATCGGCCGGCGAAAAGGCGAGGCGGGTGATGGCAGAGTCGGCCGAGGTGGCGACCAGGGCAACATGTTTCAGTGTTGCGCGGTTGTACACGTAGATAGAGCCTGTCGAGGCGCCAAATACGATGTAGTGGCGATTGAGGGCGACAGAGGTGTACTTGACACTGGCAAAAGGTCGTAGCGAGAGGTCGAGTGTAGTCAGTGCACGGTATCGGGGCAGTCGTCAGCCGCGTGTGTGGTCAGCAGACGAGGTCAGGGCAGTCATCGCCAATGAGCAGCATGTCAGCAGAAGAGACCGGTGCCGGTACGTTACCATCAGTCATGTCCACCCAGTGGTTGCCATCAGTCATGTCCACCCAGTGGTTGCCATCAGTCATGTCCACCCAGTGGTTGCCATCAGTCATGTCCACCCAGTGGTTGCCATCAGTCATGTCCACCCAGTGGTTGCCATCAGTCATGTCCACCCAGTGGTTGCCATCAGTCATGTCCACCCAGTGGTTGCCATCAGTCATGTCCACCCAGTGGTCGCCATCAGTCATGTCCACCCAGTGATCACCATCAGTCATGTCCACCCAGTGGTTGCCATCAGTCATGTCCACCCAGTGGTTGCCATCAGTCATGTCCACCCAGTGGTTGCCATCAGTCATGTCCACCCAGTGGTCGCCATCAGTCATGTCCACCCAGTGGTCGCCATCAGTCATGTCCACCCAGTGGTCGCCATCAGTCATGTCCACCCAGTGGTCGCCATCAGTCATGTGCGTGTCGCCCAAGCAGCACGGCCACGCCACCACAACCACCACAACCACCACAGCCACATACAGCCACAACACATACACATACACATACACACCATGAGTCACAAACTCTCCCCCCCCCACCCCCCACACACACACACACCACCACACCCTGCCCTCACCACCGCCACACGTACCGCCCCGAGGCAAGGGGAGCAGCAAGGGTGTCCATGCCGGACGTGGCTACGCCCACCACCATAAAGGCAGCAAGAGCAGACACAGACTCGGTAGACTCTCCCACTTCTCCTCCCGTGGAAGCCATCTTCTATACTCTCCGCCTTGGAGAGAGAGAGAGAGAGAGAGAGACAGAGACAGAGAGAGAGAGGTGGTCGTGGTGGTCGTGGCCGTGGTGGTGGTGGCTCTGGTCGGCAAAGGACCATCGGCGGGGCGGAGGTCGGGCCGAGTTGGTCCAAGGGCTGATGGTGAGCCATTTGATGGCAATGGGTGTGGTAGAGGTGGGCGATGGGGTGTAATCGGGTTCGAGAGGGAGGTGGGTGTGGGTGAGGACAGGATGGGCTTCATCTGCGTCTTTGTGGGCAGTGTCGCCGTGGGAGAAATCACGTCCGCCAGTCTGAAGGTGAGAGAAGGAATGGTCACTGATCAACCACACTGCGCGCACACACAACACACAGACACACACACACACACACCGTCCATCGTCGTGATCTTCCCCCTCCACATAACACACACACACATACCAGCCAAGTACATCATCATGGGCATGTCGTATGCCCACCCTCCATCTTCAAGCAGCGCATCAGTGGCTCGCTGCTGAGCGATTATCATTCCTCGGGGTGTAGCCGGCAACAACCCGAGTGACGCGCTCGCCTTCGGGCATGTCATACCCAAACCACGGCTCCAGACCACCCGATCAAACCCACATCTCCCCACTCCCCCCTCTCTGACCACACTCATCAGATCTTCCAAACCGATCAGCGAAAATGCGCCCAGCTTGGAAGCCCGGAGCCGGAAACGATGTCTCTCACGCCGCAACGAGCGCAGGCAGCCGCGCGGACAGGCACCTCACTCACCAGACTCATCCCTACGGAGCAGAGATGTCCAGCGGAGCATCTGTGCGGCTACATGTGTATGATCTGTCCGGTGGGATGGCCATGGCGATGTCTCAGTCGTTCATCGGCAAGCGCATTGATGGCATCTGGTACGTGATGAGCTTGGATGGCGGGGAGCGGGGCCCGGTCCGGTCGCGTTCGTGAAGGCAATGGGAGGGGGGGAGGGGGGGGGGGGGGGGGGGGGGGGAGGACCGATGGCAGGCACTGACTGACGCAGAATGGAGGGATGGATGTAGGCATACGGGTATTGTTGTGTATGGCAATGAGTACTATTACGGTGGTGGGCTGCAGGTGGCACCGGCTGGGGTCACGCCCTATGGCAACCCGGTCAAGGTGGAGGAGTTGGGAAGGACGAGCAAGAGCAAGGCAGAGTTTGAAGCCTTTCTCGCTCAGTTGGCGCCATCGTTTACTCCGGCATCGTATCATCTCCTCGACAACAACTGCAATCACTTTACCGATGCCGCCTCGAGGTGGCTCACAGGAAATCCCATTCCGGCTTACGTCAGGGAACTCCCGTCAGAGTTCCTCTCCACTCCGCTCGGGCAGATGATGCGCCCGGTCATCGACTCCATGATGGGTGGCATGGGTGGCGCTCTGGGCGAGTCGGTCAACTCGGTCTCATCGGCCGTTCCCGTCGCCTCGGCCACTGCTGACTCTGCATCGTCGTCAGAGTCGTCCATCGCACCCACCCCGCGCTATCGCCTCGCTTCCGACACCTCGTTTGTCACCTTTGCCTCTTTCAACGCAGGCGGCGTGACCAAGCACATCCGCAGCCAGCTGGAAAAGGACCAGCACGCGGCGCTGGCCGAGATGGTCGCCGCCACTTGCGGCTCAGTCGACGCGCTCTGTGAGTGGATCGCAGACCTAAAGGCGGATCCCGAAGCTGCCGGCTCAGCGCAGCTCGCCGGCAGTGCCTTTGACGCTCTGCTCAATCTCGCCCTCATGGGGCTTGAGGGCAAGGACGCCTTTGCTGTCCTCGACGTCCTGCGCATTGCTGTCCTTCGCCCACGGCTGGCCCAACACCTACTCGCTGACAAGGACGATGCCCGCCTGGCGTCGCTGTGGGCGCTGGCGCAGCCGGACTCTGCCGTCCGCCACGTCCGCATCATGGTATTCCGCCTTGTCGCCAACGTGCTCTCGATGCCCCGTGCCGGCGCATACCTCCGCGCCACCAACGAACGTGCCACCGCCCTCGTCTCGCTCCTGCTGGCTCACACCACCGACGAGGTCGAGGCCGCCGTCCGCACCCCAGCCATCGCCGCCGTCCACAACCTGGCCATGATTGCTGACACAGCCGAGCTCTCAGACACCTACCTCCAGCTCGTTGCCGGCCTCACCGAGCGCCTGCTCCACATCGACCTTGCGCTCGTCACCGATCTGCTTGACCTCTACCGCCTGGCCAAGGCGCTGGCACATTTGGTCGTCGAGGCCCCACACGGCACCACCCTCGTCCAGCAGCTGGGCCTTCCCGCCTCGCCCTGGCTAGCTGCCGCACAGAACCCGCCAGGCGCCCCGCCACCGCCCGGTTCGCCCGCCGCTCTCATCAGCGAGTTGGCCCGCGAGCTGGCCGCCATCCTTGCCTAGCTAGCCGGCAGTCCATCTACCCCCCCCCCCTAGCCACCCACAAGTGAAAAAAGCTTCGACAACAGAATGTGAAATGGCAGGCCATCTCCATCACAGCGAGTCTGTGCGAGTGGTCGGCCACCGACTGGTGCGTCTGTCCCTGCGGAACTCGCCGAGCACACCGCTCACGACGGCCAGCCCAGTGCACTCGGCCCAGGGCACTCGACTCGCTCGATATCTCGGGGCGGGGCAGGACAGGAGGCTTGTGGACGGTGGGCAACAAGGATGGCAGCTTGCGAGCAAGGGCGGCAAAGCTTTGACGAGCTTGGACTCTCGACACGCGTGGTGGATGCTCTGCATAGGGTGGGGATGAGGCAGCCGACGAGGGTCCAGGCTGTGGCCATCCCGCGCATCGGCCGCTCCGACTCGGACCTCATCATCCAGGCCCGCAATGGGACAGGCAAGACGCTTGTCTTTGCCCTTGCTGGCGTGGAGCGCATGCTGGAGGAGGCCGATGTTCATACCCATACCAGTGCCGATGGCTGCCGCAATGAGCTGGTGGCCTATCCAGAGATCTTGGTCGTCGTGCCCACGGCAGAGCTGGCTGTCCAGCATGCTGCAGTGGTCAATGCGCTCGGATCGGCGCTTGTGCCGCCGCTACAGACGGCGGTACTGTCGGGCGCAACATCCATCGATACCGCCTTGCAGGCGCTGGGCACTGACGCCCGTGCCGCGGTCGGATCGCCCGGTCGACTGGCCCATTTGCTGCGTCTGGGCCTGCTCTCAGCCGCGGCAGTGGTGACAGTTGCTGTGGACGAAGCGGATGTAGTCTGTCTCACGTCGTCTTTCCGCGACGACATGGCGACGCTGGCAGCAGCCTTGCCGGCATCGGCGCGCCGGATGTTCTTCACCGCCACCCTCCCAGACGGCTTTGTCTCGTCACCGCACGTAGCGCCGTTGCTCCGCAAGGGCTCTTCACCAGAGATTGTGGCGGTCGATGCGGAACAGTTGGCGCTCGAGCACATGGCCCAGTTTCACGCGGACGCCAGTGCTTGCCGTAAGCCGCGGCAGCGCAAGAATCTGCTGGAAAGCTACCTTGCAGCGCTCGACCCGCATCAGGCCGTGGTCTTTGCCTCATCGCACGCGCTCGCGGCGTCGGTGGCTAATGCGCTCAGCGATTGCGGGTGGGCGACGGAGATGATATCGGGCAAGCTTGCGTTTGAAGAGCGAAATGCAGCGTTGGAGCGGTTTCGCGAGTACAATGCCCAGATCCTGGTCGCCACCGATGTCCTGGCCCGCGGCATTTCCATCGACCGGGTCAGCGTCGTTGTCAACTATGGCCTTCCAGCCTCGCTCGCCACCTATCTGCATCGGATCGGACGGTCGGGCAGGGCCGGCGCGCGTGCAGCAGCGCTCACGCTCACCTTTAGTGCCAATGATGGAGCCACGCTCCAGGACTGGGCCCAAGCTGCTGGCGCCCCGCACTTTGCCGCCTGGCCGGATCCGGCCACTCCACCACCAGCTCTCGTCGACTTTGTGCCGCCGCTAACTGACAGCGAGGCGGCGATCAAAGCCGCCCACACTGTGGCGCGGACTGCACCTGTGTCGAACCCGCTGCCTTTGTCGCCGCCGCATCCCAGCTCGCCCCTCGCTGTCGGGACACTACTGATCTGCCACGGCGATAGTGATGACGAGCTGGATCTTGCAGAGGCTGACTACTCCACCTCCTTTACCCGTCTTGTAGGCGAGCTCGTCGCCCGATCATGGCACACCAAGCCGCTCCAGGGCTAGATAAACGACAGACGATATCTGTACCTGCGACATCGCTGCTGCGGCCCTCGACTGCATGCTTCCCTCGCCCGATCCGGCCGTATCCTTCTGATCAGACGAGTGATCCGGAAGATTGGGAAGAGACTGTGTGGCGTCATCCACATTTTCGAGAGGAGGCCAATCAGTGCGACTCGGGGGCTGAGCGGCTGTCTCTACGAGCAGGGGCTTTGGCCAGGCAGCGAGCAGCGAGCAGCGAGGACGGCGCAGGGAGCAGGAGTGGGAGCGGGCGGGCAGACTTGTCGCCAGAACAGCCGAGACGAGCCATGCGGCAGCTGGAACGGCATCACCGGGATGGAAGAGTGGTACGGGACGAGGGGACAGGGGACTAAGGGGGAGGGGGAGGGGGGGAGGGGGAGGGGGAAGGGGGAGGGGGAAGGGGGGGGGGGGGGGGGTGACCATGGACTGACTGCGGACGGACGGACAACTGGTGATGAACACACGGATGCCCTTATCTGACCCGGACACACACATCCATACGCACACATACATGCGTACATGCACGTACATACGCAAACACGCATCTTGGACACACGCACCCTCGGACACGCGCATCTTGGACACGCGCACCCTCGGACACACGCATCTCGGACACACGCACCTCGAACACACGCACCCTCGGACACACGCATCTTGGACACACGCACCTCGGATACACGCTGCTTGGGCATCCTATCGCTCCGATTGGCTCTCGGCATGCTCCACGCTTGGGCCATGTCATCGGATTCGGATGGAATGCTGGGCAGGACCGATACGTGCTCGAGGCCGAGGTTGGCCGGGGTACGTACGGCAAGGTGTACAAGGCCCAGATGGTGCGCGGTACCACGCCAGGCTCGGAGCCAGCGCCGCAGACAAGCGAGATTGTAGCGCTGAAGGAGTTCAACGGGGCGGACAGGGTCGATGGCATCCCGCTGTCAGGCATCCGCGAGATGGCGCTCCTCCGTGAGCTGAAGCACCCGAGCCTGGTCACGCTCCACGACGTCGTAGTCGAGCCCGGATCCGGCTCGACATTCCTAGTGCTCGAGTATGTTGAGCACGATCTGGAGAAGCTGCTCATTCACCACGCCAAGCGCAAGCACCCGCTGATGGCCGAGACCGTGCGGTCGATGATGTGGCAGCTCGTGAGCGGCATCGAGTACATGCACGCCAACTGGGTCATGCATCGCGACATGAAGCCGTCCAACGTGCTTGTCTACGGCCACGGCCCGCACTTTGGCCACATCAAGATCACCGACTTTGGCATGGCTCGCATCTTCAAGACGCCTGCCGTCGCCCTCACCGCCAACAACCCGGTTGTCGCCACCCTCTGGTACCGCGCCCCAGAACTGTTGCTGGGCGCGCGCCACTACACGCCGGCCATCGACGTCTGGGCCCTCGGCGTCATTTTTGCCGAACTGCTTTTTCTCCAGGTGCTCTTCAAGGGCAAGCAGATCGAGGAGAAGGCCTCTGACATCAAGACCTTCCAATCGCACCAGATGGAGGCCATTGTCAACATACTCGGCACCCCCGACCCGGCCACCTGGCCTGGCCTCGCCGACCTGGCCCACGCCAACCAGCTGGCAGCCTTTACTCGGGTCGAGAGCAGGCTCGACGCCACCCTGCGCAAGCTCGGCAAGCTGCGCAAGCCGCAGCTCCTGCTCTCATCACAGGCCTGCGATCTTCTCAAGCGCATGGTAGCCTACAACCCCGACGACCGCATCACCTGCGCAGACGCCCTCAGACACCCGTACTTTGCCAAACTGCCCGCCCCGACATGTGACGCCTTTGCCGCGGACACCAAGCCGCTCAGGTACCCGCTCCCGGCTCTCAAGCCCGTCACCTCGTCATCTGCTGGCCCGTCTGCACCCAGCCACCCGCCACTTCCACCTGGCCCCCCGCCGCCCCCGCCACCCCCGCCCCCATCCGGCCTGCCGCCGCCATCGTCATCCGCCCGTCACCGCCCTGTCCATCCCAACCCACGCGCCCTCAAGCGGCACAAGCCAAACTAGCCCCCCCCCGATTACTC